GTGCCTGCCCGGAGCGCCCGCGGGGCCGCCCGACTCGCCGCACCGGTGGGGCTGGCTGGGGCCGGGGCATGCCGGGGCGCGTAGTTCTCCTCCCGCGCCTCCAGGTGAGGCTGCGATGGGGGATGCGGCGCGCCCTCCCTCCCCCCTCCCTCCCCGGGCCTTCTCTGGGGTGAACGGGAGCGGGGCGGAGACCTTGCCCGGGCAGAGCCTCCCCTCTCGGGGCAGAAAGAGGCTTTTGGCTCCCGCGTCTCGAGGCAGCTCAGCCGGGGCCGGCCCGGAATCGGGAGGGGGGCGCTTCTGGCGCCGGCTTTTGCTTTGGGGTCAGTGCGGGGGGGGGAGTAAGGGCTCCTGATCCGCCTGGATTTGGCCTCAAGCAGGTATCCCAGAATCATGGGGTTGGAAGGGGGGGGCTCTTCTCCGGCCAAGCCCCCTGCTTAAGACAGGAAGATCTTGGCTCCTTTCACATCTTGATCAGTAAAAATCTGTTGTTTCTCATTCAGACCTGATAGTGTTGCTTAATAACAAAGCCAAATCATGACATTTGTAAATGGACAGTGCCTAGTAAATTCTTATTCAAAGGGCCCCTGGGTGCAAAAAGGGGCAGCCATGAATTCGAATCCCTGCGGCTTCTCCTAGGAATGGACCATCCTATATCGCCCTACACCAGCGGTTCCCCACCGTGGGTCGCCCGGGCGTTCGTGGGCTGCAACTCCCAGAAGCCCCTGCCAGCACCCCTGGTGGCGGGGAAGGCTTTTGGGAATTGCAGTCCCAAGAACACCCGGGTGACTTGGCGCCCTCGAGTGTGTGGCTGATGGGCCTTGGTGGTCCTCCCTGGAGCAGCCCTAGGCAAGCTGCATGATGGTCTCCGAACGGAGGCTGAAGCGGGCCGTGGTCGCGGAAGGGCACCCGATTTCTCCCCCAATCTTGACGCCATGTGTCTTTCCCCACCGCCTGCCTCTCGCTTTTGCCCGGTGCTCCGGTTCATCCGGCTGTTTCTTCTGTTTTCCTCCCCAGGAAGCAAGAGCCCCATGGAGGAGGGGGTGACGGAGCCAGGGGCGCGGCCCCCCCAGGGCTCGCCGCGTGGGGAGGAGGAGCCGTTGCTCTTCCCCGCCTGGGAGGAAGGCTCCGGGGACGAGAACGCCCTGGTCATCCACAGCCAGGCGGAGGAGGAGGAGGAGGCGGCGGCGGCCGCCTTCAAGTGCCTGCTCTGCGGGGAGAGCTTCGGCCAGCAGCCGGGCCTCTTGCGCCACCAGAAGCAGCACCACGCCGGGGAGCGGACCTTCGTCTGCGCCGAGTGCGGCAAGGGCTTCGGCCTCAAGCACAACCTCATCATCCACCAGCGGATCCACACGGGGGAGAAGCCCTTCGGCTGCGCCGCCTGCGGGAAGCGCTTCAGCCTCAAGCAGAACCTCCTCACCCACCAGCGGGTCCACGGGGACGGACGGCCCGCCGCCTGCGCCGCCTGCGGGAAGAGCTTCCGGGAGCAGCGCCTCCTCCTGGCCCACCACACCAG